CACCCAGCATTTCCTAGCACTTTAGCTTTTCTAATAAACATAAGACATAGTTGAAGGATTCAAAGTCACTGACTGAGGTGGGAGGAGGAGAGGAAGGACCGGAAATGATTTAAACATTCTAGAGGGAGATGGTATGACTCACCTACTTCTTGATGGGTAACTACCCTTTAAAATTGCATCTTGTAAAAACAGCCAAGGAGCATTAAAGATTGAATGTAAAACTGCTTCTGGGCAGTGCTGATTAAAAAGAAATAAAACTATTTTAAAAGGTTGTTCTGAGCTATTTGGCAAAATTTGCATTTTGGTGAATGCGTGACTCAGATCCCATTGCGGGTCCTCTCCATCTCCAAAGCTGTGACTTTAGAGGACGATAGTCACCAGTAATTGTTGCTCTGGAGACAACTGAAGAGTCTCAGTCTAGCTGACAGAAATCAGTGATTATCACTTTGCCTGATTTAATGAGCTTTCACAGAAACCTTACCTGCTTTGTCCTTGAACTTTCTGTTCACTCAGCTTTCCAATGTTTCCATGTGCAAGGATATCACATATGTTTTGCTATTAACTTGCCATAAATAATAACTAGGTTCATGTTTTTTAAAGCTTTTTCTTGCTCTAACTTGTAATCTTTTAAATGAGAAACAAAGTTTTAATCAGATTAGACACACAATAACGAAACAAGGACACACAAGCTAACCCTAATTTGAAAAAAATTTTAACCTTAAACGTTGTTGACTCATCTCACAATATGTAATTTTTAATTGAATTAAAAAATCTCTGCTAAGCAAACGAAAGTATTACATCTGTATAGTTAGCAAGCAATAACAACTAGTATCAACGAATCGCACAAGAAATGTGAAGTTTATTCCTTTCCATGGGAGAGAAGTCAGCCATCCCAGGTCACCCAGCCAGTTTCACAAATATCCTCTGTGCAAGGTAACACAGAGAACAAGGTAAATATCACATCCAAAAGCTAAGAAGGAAACACATTATGTCCAAATCATAGTATCTCTGGGCCGCTCTTTATTAATTAAATTTTTTGGTTAATCCAAGGATATTTTTCCATTGATTTTTAGAGAGTGGAAGGGAGAGAGAAACATCAATGTGAGAGAGACACATTAACTGGATGACTCCTGCACATGCCCCAACCAGGGCCAGGGATCAAACCTGCAACCCAGTATGTGCCCTTGACTGGAAATCAAACCCAAAAAACCCTTTGGTCTGTGGGCCGATGCTCTAACCACTGAGCAACCAGCCAGGGCTGGGCTGCTCTTTATTTCACAAAGATGTTAACATTCAAAAATAGTTTTCTGTATCTCCAGTTCTACAGCACAAACCAGGCTACTACTTTTTCAAATTGTATGATGTTTCCCTAAAAAACAAATACCAACTCTATTATAGGAAGTTGGTAGTAAAAATTTAGCTCAACAAAGCAAACAAGATGCCACAAATCGGCTTTTTTTTTAGATTATCTCATAAAAGCATAGACACTAGGAGGAAAGAGCAAAACATGTCGAGTATGGCTTGGCAGGGCTTTCTGGCTCCCAGGTTGTACTTTTATTACTTCCCAAGAGCCATTCATAAGATTGGCAAGGAAGACTCAAATCATATATAAAGTTTAATCTGAAAGTAAAGTGTTTGTTGCCCTCTTGAGGTAAATTGAAGAACAGAAAGAAAACAATGCTAGCTTTGCCCAGAACATTACGAAAGAGGCTTTTTTCTCCAAAGGGCTTTTTCTACAAACATAATGTGATCTAAAGCTAGCTAGTTGTAATAGAAAACGCCATTTTCACCCCAACAACAGACAATTTACGAATACCACTACGTATCAGAACATTTCTGCAAAGATAAAGCTAAAACTTCACACCAAGAATAAAGCAACATTTTTAGTTTCAGTTGATGAAAATGTCAAACCAGATGCATCCTAAAAACTCATTACGCAGCTCTTTAGGAGACCCAAACTGTAGACTGTGAAAAGCTCTGTGGCAAACTTTCAAAGGGGTTTCGGAGGCTTGGGGGGGCCAAGTACAATATATATTTATAGCTCAATTCCACTTAATATGCAAGGTCTGCAACACAAGAGTAGCTGCATTGACAAAAAGAGTATGTAATATATAAGGGTGGGTAGAAAAATTTAACGATCTTGATAGATTATTCTGCTAGGGAATTAATTTTAGTCAGTAACCTTCTGAGGTACTGCTCCTATTCCAATGTCACGGGGCCTTGAACTAATTAAGTCCGTTTTTCCTCAAATTACATCTTATTCTAAGTTATCATATGATTGTCAGTATTAAGAAGAATGGAGGTAGATGACATCATTACTCCTCTCAAATTTGAAAGACTTCAGTGCTTGACTAATAAGCATGACTCATATTCATAAATGATCAACGTTTTGAATGAACAATAAAAATATGGTCACCATCTCATCCTGCTACTATAGACCCTGGAGGAGGAAGAGATCACACTGGCCAGCTGCTGCTAAAAGTCTAGATTCATGGATACAGAATTAACCTGTCATGTTATCTGAGGCGATCAGAGTAGGCTGCTTACACACATCGTTCTCCCAGTGCTGAAATCTTTATGCAGGCCCCTCAAGCTACTGTTGATATTTTTTTCATTTTTACAAACCCAAAGGAGAGAAAAAGAAGTTAAGGGGAATCTGGCTGGTAAGGCTCAGTGGTTGAACATCGACCCATGTACCAAGAAGTTGCTGGTCAGGGCACATGCCCAGGGTGCGGGCTAAGTCCCCAGTGGGGGGCATGCAAGAGGTAGCCAATCCATGTTCTCTCTCATCAATATTTCTTTCTCTCTCCCTCTCTCTCTAAAATCAATTTAAAAAAAAAAAAAAGTTAAGGGGCTAGGGGAAGTGAGAGGGGCATAAAAAGATGTTCCTAGCACTAATTCCTTAAATATTATCTATGAGCAGATAATCCCAAAATTTGTATTGTCAGCCCAGACATATTTTGTATACCCTACCTGACATCCGGTTGGATGTATCCTAGGCATTTCAAACTTAATTCATCTTAAAAAAACAAAAAACACCTCACTAAAAAAACTCCTGATTTTCTCCCATACTCCTATTTTCCCTCGGTCTTTTCCATCTCAGTATTTGGCCCTACCCATTAGTGGTTTCCTACAACCTAAACCTGAGTGTTATCTTTGACTGCTTCCTCTTTCTTACCCCCAACCCAATCCAAAGTCAGTTGCAACAACAAATACAGCTCTAATCCACCCACTCTTCTCCATCATTATTGCCACCTCCCCACCCCGCCCATCTGAGCTGGGACAGATCCAACAATCTTCTTCTGGTTTCCTACCTGGACTCGTGTACCCCTCTGATCCAGTGATTTTCAACCAGTGTACCACAAGAATTTTTAAAACATACAATACCTGATCATTTAGACAGGGGCACTGACCTCTTTTCCCGTAGATTGATAAATAAAAAAATGACAACAGCTAACACAGCAATAGCCATACAGTGTGAATGAATTAAAATATCTTTTTTTTTCAGATCGACAAAAAAATATATATATATATTTTTGGTATGCAGAATTTTGGTAGTTTATGTGTGCCATGAGATGAAAAATGTTGAAAACCGCTCCTCTAACCATTAGCCAGATAGTTGTCAAAATGACCTTCTTACTTATCACCCTGAATATGTCACTCTCCTGCTTAAAACCACTCATCTACTTCCTACTGCATTTCAAATAAAATCTTAATTCCTCAAAGCACATACAATTTGGACCATAACTAACTTTCAAGCTTACCCCATGACACTTTCTCCCTTGTTCACTGGAATCCAACCACCTTGTCCTCTGTTCCTAGAATAACCCAAGTTCTTCCCCATCTCACTGCTTTTCTCTTATTTTTTCTGCTCTTGGCCTGACTGAATCTTCCTCATATTTCAGGTTTCAGCTTAAATATCACCACTTCGTCTAGAGAATAACCCTATTTATTCTCTAGCACAGTAACCTATTTCCACCATAGCACTTACTGTTTTCTATTTGTTGAACTATTAAAATGTAAGCACCATGAGGGCAAGGACACATCTGTCTTCTTCACCATGTTGTTCCCAGTGCCTATAACACTGCATAGTACCTACTGTGCCCTCCACAAACATTCAGTAAATAAGAAGGACTAGCCAGGTGTTCCTGAAACTTCTGAAAATAAAAACTATTTTAAGACTTTCACTTCTTAAACCACTGAACTATATATGAAACTTTAGAATTCTTCTTGCTAAAAATTGAGATATGAGTTATCAACAGAATGCGTAATTTTCTTCTGGTTTGTCAATTAGACTTTAAATGACTAAATGATCCCATTCATAAACAAATTATTTAATAATTATTACAAAGTAGCTAGTAATAAAATAATGGTTATCAAATAATGGCCACTTGTTTTGATTTCATTGCAGGAATATTTCAGGACAGTACCCAGTGCTCTTTTTGGGTGGGCTAAAAACTCAACTAGCTCAGCCAAAACTATGCCTGCAGTTTAGACCAGCCTAAGGCAGAAAAGGTCTTCACAGTGATTCTGTGAACCACTCCTTCTCTTAGAATACTAATGTCAACAACCTGTAATCACTCAAAAAAATTTTTTTCAATGGAAATAATCCATTCCCGGAAAACAGAAGTAACTACAAGAGCTAGGGATGCATGAGATGACACATGTTAACTTAAGCTTATCGTGGTAATCATGTTATGATATATGTAGGTTAAATCATTATGCTGTACACTCTAAACATATATAATGCTGTATGTATGTCGATATAGCTCAATGAAACTGAGAAAAATGTATTTAACCTTATAACCCATCAAAACTATGCAAATAAAAATAATGAAATCCCGCTGTTACTCCCAAATAGCACTGCACCGCCCCCTCCCCAACACCCAGCCAAAGAATTAGGAATGTAGATGTAGAGCCAGAGTAGTTCTCGTTGGCTGTGCCTAGAAAGATAAACTGACAACCACTTTGGAGAATATGATAAAATAATGATTTCTTACTTGACTGCCTCATAAATATTGTTGGAGGTATGTCCTGACAATGCATCATGTAAGTTTCGAATAAAATAATCTCTGTATTCTTCTGGAAGGGCCATAAATGTTCCACCCATCACAATAAATTCCACTTTATCCACACTGTGACCAAGCTGTTTCAACTGAAAGACATAAATTAATCAGCATTAAAAAGATATAGTCACTATCCTAAGAGGGTACTGCAAATTTCTAATTTTATTTTTCGGTGTTTTCATCAGTATAATTTAAAAACAAGAAGCAATTAAACCTATTTAACAAATTCTGTGGATTAAAAAAATAGACTTGAGTCTGAAAGAAAAAAATGATAGCTCAAATAAGGAGGGAGAATGAGAATTAAAAATAATTACCAAGAAGCTTGATGTTAGTACCTACCGAGTTGAGTGGAAATTTAAAAATACATAGACTATAAACTAAAAAGCAGTAAAGGCAAAAATAAGCAACTATATATCAATCACGTATTTTATGCCAGACATTGTGGTAAACCTTGGGGACAGAGAAGATAATTATATGCAACATAATCAGGACTTGATGCGAATGAAAGACAAAGAACACTAGATTAGAAACAAAAATTAAGAGAACAGTTTTAATTAAAACTTTAAAGCTTTAGATCAGTTGTGAATACTCTGTACATAGGTGGCACCTCAAGCCTGCTTTATCCAGGTGGGGGGGTGGGTAGGAAAATAAAAGTCTGATTGCCCTGTCTGGTGTTGCACAACAGTTAGAGCATCAGCCCACACAATGAAGGGTTTCTGGTCAAGGGCATGTACCTAGACTGCAGGTTCAATCCCTGGCCCCAGTCAGGGCTCATTGAAGGCAACCAATCAAAGTGTCTCTCTCACATCAATGTTTCTCTCTCTCCCCACTCCCTTCCTCCCTTCCACTCTCTCTAAAGATCAATGGACTAACAACAACAACAACAAAAAGTCTGGTTGATAAACCATGAAATACAATGTCTCTACTATTAGGGATGCAATGGTCCAGATCTTTGGCTTTGTCAACTACAGTAAGCCAAGATTCTAATTTCCAAAAACAAGTATTTAAATTTCTTGCCATATTTTAGGTGTGAAAAAAATGGATAAAGTAGCCCTGGCCGGTTTGGCTCAGCGGTTAGAGTGTCGGCCTGCGGTCCTGAGAGACCTGGGTTCGGTTCCCGCTGAGGGCGCGTACCTCGGTTGCAGTTTGTCCCCGGCCCTGGTCGGTCGTGCGGGTGGCAGCCACTCGATGTGTTCCTTTCGCGTCGATATTTCTATCTCTCTCTCTGTTCCTCTCTCTCCCTCCCACTCTACCTGAACAAAAAAATGGGAAAATGTCCTCAGGTGAGGATAAAAAAAAAAAAAAATGGATAAAGTAGTTACCAGATTATGAACTCAAAATATACTATGTAAAGGATGTTTATAATTAATGTGGCAAAAAGGTACCTTTTAAAATGTTTCTGAAAATGGCAAATAATTTATACATACATATATCTTTATGTAAGTATTTTATATATACATCATATGCATATATATTTAAAATACATATGTAAGTATCTATATGCGTGTGTATGTGTGTGTGTGTGTGTGTGTGTGTGTGTGTGTATGTGTATATATATATATATATCTCAAGACTAAAGGAATACTGTATATATCTACGGCTTACAAGGGATACACAACAAAATCACCCTGATATCTTTTTCAGAATACCTTGGCAGGACCCTAAACTAGACTTAAACAGAACATCCAGAGGTGAAGATCTGGCTCATGTTTTGGAAAAGTTATGGTGATTCTAATGATTTATAGTTAAGAAAAAAATTCACTGCTCTATGGTAGTTTCTAAATTTTTTAAAACCCATGCTCCTTTTTGGTAAACATAAACATTTCACACTATATTAAAACATTTTTTTTTTTTTTTTTTTATTATTTTTTTTTATCCTCACCGAGGACATTTTTCTATTTTTTGTTCAGGTAGAGTGGGAGGGAGAGAGAGGAAGAGAGAGAGAGAGAGAGAGAAACATCGATGTGAAAGGAACACATCGAGTGGCTGCCACCCGCACAACTGACCAGGGCCGGGGACAAACTGCAACCGAGGTACGCGTCCTTAGTGGGAACCGAACCCAGGTCTCTAAGGACCGCAGGCCGACGCTCCAACCGCTGAGCCAAACCGGCCAGGGCTATATTAAAACATTTTAAAGAGTTAAATATAAACACCATGGCTAAAAAAGAAATTAAAGCAATGGTCAGTTTAGAACACGCTTTTCCAAACTACACAGGCTCCCCACCCCAGTGGGGTCCTCTCCTGTAGCTGAACCATCCTGATCCACACATGCTTGGTGACAGTGAAGTGAAATCAGAACTGGCCAATACTAATAGTGACAGTTGGATAAACAAAGTAGTGACTTATTGACTATGGTATATATTACTTTCCATTTGGGATTTTGTGGTTGCCCTACAAGATGTTACTAGGAAAACTATAGACAGTGTTCACATGTTTTTTAATTGGACAAGTTTAAAATTGTAAAAACTGTAAAAATAAAATTGTATTAATGTTCAGATTTCTTGAACAGAGTAAGGCCATTTACATAGTACCTGTTTTTAATCAGTTATAGTGAGGTATAGTTTACACACAATAAAACCAATTAATTATACATGTAAATTGGATGTGGCTGGATACATGTTTGGAGTTGTGTAACCACAATCATGATACAGAACAATTCCACAGCCAAAGTGTTCCTTGTATTCTTTTGCAATCAATTCCCTATTCCTAGTCCAGCAAACGAGCATAATATTCCTTATCCGGCTTAAGGCAGCTAAAATTCAGTCCATCCACCTAAGTGTCTAAGAGTTTCCACACACCTACAGTCTGTAAATTTCATACCATAAATGACTTTCTACAAATTGAAAGAAATTTGTAGAGTACAATCTTTAAAGAAAACAACAGTCTCTAAAGGAAGTGATATATCTAACCTTGCAAAACAGTCTCCCTCCCTCAGATGGATATTAAAAACCTACAATGGGGAAAAACACTCTTTTAGTTATCTCAATTACAACTCAAATCAAGCAATAATACCTTCTAAGTATAAAAATCTAATTTGAAACTGCTTTTCAAAAACTCACCTGTTCTATTCGGTGTCTTGTCTGTAGATAAGGGTCGTATCTCGCTCGGATAGCTCGCATGGAGGTTGGCTGAGAAAAAAGGAGAGAAAGATCTGTTATGCCCACAGTGAATTAAAAAGTAGTTTCAAAGAGTGTATTAAAAATAAAATTCTCTTATGCTCCTTTCTTCCTTTCTCAGTCTTCAAAATAATGTCCCGACTAGCACCTGGCAGGTCTCCACCCCACCGTCGTGAGTATCCCTTTCACTCTTGCCCCCACTCTAATCCTTTCCTCTCATCAAATGGTCTTTGAGAAACCGTATTGGATTATCCCAGTCCTTTAAATCTTAATGGCTTCTCATGACCCCTAGAATAAAGTCCACACCCCTTGCCCTGGCTTACAAACCACTACAACACCTGTTTCGCCAATCTCATTCTTCCCGTTACCCTCCACGCTTCAGAACGCCCACCGTCACTCCAAACATGGCTCCTGGCTCCAGCTCTTCTCCCTGCCGTAAATGCTCTTTGCTGATATTCCTGAAAGGCTCCTTGTCATTCAGGACTCAGTTAAAACATCACCTCCTCAGAGAATCATTTCCTAACCACCACAGTTAAAGTATCCACCCAGCTACACCTTAGGACTTCATTTCTGTGCTGAGCATTTACTAGTACCTGACATTTTTTTTCTTGTGTGTTTCTTTATTGTCTATCTCCCATTATTAGAATGTAAATTCCACAAGACAAGGGATCTTGTCTGTTTTTCCACTGCTGCACACACAGGAGGACAATGTAGTGGTGAGGAGCACAGAATTCAAAACCTGGCTCTGTAACTAATTTATTTGCCGTGAGCCTTTGAGCCCGTTCTTTAAGGCTTCTAGGCCTCAGTTTCTTAATCCATAAAACCAGGATAATAATAGTGTTTACCTTTAAAATGCTACTGGTAAAGTTTAAAATTATAAAGTAGTTATGTCTGGCATATATTAATAATAAATGCTTCCATGCCCTGGCCGGTGTGAGTCAGTAGTCAGCAATGATTTTCAACCTTCCTAATGCCGTGACCCTTTAATACAGTTGCTCATGTTGTGGTGACCCCCAACTATAAAATTATTTTTGTTGCTACTTCATAACTGTAATTTTGTTTTCTGATGGTCTTAGGCGACCCCTGTGAAAGGGTCGTTCGATTCCCAAAGGGGTCACGACCCACAGGTTGAGAAGCGCTGGGTTAGAGGGTTGACCTGTGCACTGAAAGGTTGTGGGTTCAATACCCAGTAAAGGGCATGTACCTGAGTTGCAGATTTGATCCCTGGACTGGATGGGGGGTGTGTGGGAGGCAATTGTTGATGTGTCTCTCTCACACTGATGTCTCTCCATCCCCCCGCCCCCTTCCACGCTCTCTAAAAATCAATGGAGCCCTGGCCGGTTTGGCTCAGCGGTTAGAGCGTCGGCCTGCGGTCCTGAGAGACCCGGGTTTGGTTCCTGCTAAGGGCGCGTACCTCGGTTGCAGTTTGTCCCCGGCCCTGGTCGGTTGTGCGGGTGGCAGCCATTCGATGTGTCCCTTTCACATCGATGTTTCTCTCTCTCTCTCTGTTCCTCTCTCTCCCTCCCACTCTACCTGAACAAAAATGGAAAAATGTCCTCGGGTGAGGATAAAAAAAACAAAACAAATAAAAATCAATGGAAAAAATATACTTGGGTAAGGATTAACAAAAAATAATAAATAAATAAATGCTTCCATAAGTATTTCTCTGGTGACTAGAAAAATATATGTAGACACTCAGCAAATATTTAGTGAATGAAGAACTTTTATAATCAGAAAAAGTTAATTTTAAGAAAGCTAGTACTTCTAAAAGTACACTATAGGCAGAGTAGGATATAACATTTCCTCAGGACAACTCACATTACTTTACCTCATATCCAGTATAAGACTGGGTTGAATATTCAAAATCTGAATCAGGTCCACCAGGGCAATAGCTGCCAATACAACAGAAGCACGAAGATGTCAGATACAAAACTTAGTTCAACAGTCTAGGTTAAATATCTGCTACCTCTATAAAAACCAGGTATCACACAAGCTTCATTTTTAAATCCCTAAGAGAAAAGTCAATCTTTGCAGTACCTGCAAGTAATATTTTCTACTAGTAAGTAAACAAGATGAACATATAAGGGAACATTATTACAGTTGTTTTCAGAATTTGGCAGCTACTCTTTTTTTCAGAGATTTAAGCATTTAGGGGCAATAACAGGACCTAAGTTTTCCTAAGTTTGGACTGACATGCAGAGTGCTCTCTTGGGAACTTAAGAATATCATTCACCCATTTAACCCTTCTATCTGGAATCATGCATATTATTCTAATTTTTCTAATTTTCTAGATTTAAAAAGGTTACAAGTTATTTATAAAAATGACTTTATTTTGATACTTTTCTAATCCAAATTCATTTAAAATTCCCGATATTTGCCCGGCCGGTGTGGCTCAGTGGTTGAGCATCAAGCCATGCACCGAGAGGTCACTGGTTCAATTCCTGGTCAGGGCACATGCCCAGGTTGTGGGCCAAGAAAAAAAAAATAAATAAATAATTAAATTAAAAAATAAATAAATAAAATCCCCGACATTTGGAATTTCTATGTTTCATTTACTGAGTTAACAGAACTGTCTGTTGAAGTTAACAGAATGTCTACTGTTTCGAGTTGTATAATCTATGTATTTTTTATCGTATATTGCAACAAGTTAAAATCTTTGTTTCATTTTTAAAGCATTGAAATATCCTATCAAGGGCTGCTGTTTCAAAGAACTTATGAATTTATTAAATCAAAGTTTAAATATTACCAGCATGCACTGATCAAGGTTCTACGGGCCTTATTATTTGAATTAAAATACACACACACAACTTCTCAAAATCATCATACTTACACACAGATATTTCCTGTAAAACTAATGTGTGGACATCTGTGGGGTTTGCACATCACAGCCACAACAGCAATCTATAAAAGAAAGAAAAATAAAAAAGCTATTATGAAAGAATTGATAGAAAATCCCGGAGGCTCTGTCTCAGACAAAGGGAGAGGAATGCAATCAGAGTGGCACGCAGGGGCTTCAAGGGCACTGGTGATGCTGCATTTCTGAAGCTGAGCAGTGGGTACAGGGATCATGATCTCTTTTCAATGATATTTAAAAATCACACTGATCTCTTTAAAATGTATATATGCACTGTGTATACTGGTTTGTATTATACTTTACAATAAGTTAAGTAAAAAATAATAATTTTTAAAGTCACAGTGATTCTTATTCTCTATGATTTGTTTTATTAAAACAAAAAGAAAAAAAAAAAAAACTAGGCAATTCTATAAAATTATATCTAAACCTAAACTTTGTGACTCAAACTCCTCATGGACACACTAGAGCTCAATACTTAGAGCAGACAATTAAACTAGGAACTAGACTTCATAGAGTGTGTACAAAATATTCTTAGAGGAGTCTTTCAGAGCCCAAGTCGGGTGAGGAGAGTATCCGCTTGAGAAAGAAGGGGGCGGTGGAAATAGAAGATTGGTTACATGCAGGAGTACTTACTCAAAAGAAAGGCACACACTACGGTGAATGCAAGCCAGGTTTCTTGTCAGAAAAGAAAGTTATCAGTATGGAAAGGGAGAGAACTAGAATGAATTCTGTGGGCTGTATGGAATTGAAGGTATTACTGTGAACTCACAGTTTTCAACAGAATGACATACAAATAAATGTATGTATGTATTTCCTAGCTCAGTCCACTGAAAGGTTCTGGAAGCAACAACACCCTAATGCTGTGAGCATATCTTGGTCTCAGATCTTGGTCTCTAAATATCCAAACAGGACTACTGAGAGAAATGGCTGATTCCAGGGCTGGGGCAAAGAAAGTACAAGATGAGCCTGAAACACTTTACTATGATAGAAAGCTAGAAACTGCTCAAAGAATAATGGGGACAAAAAAAAAGACAAAGAAATCAGGCTGAAAGGGCCCCCACTAGCCAAGCCTGGGATAATTTGTGCATCAAAATAAATAATGATTATAACCCACCTTATAAGAAACCATGAATCCATTCATACAAATAAATGAATAAGTAAACTGGAAGTTTGATAAGCAACAGGAGGATATTTACATAATATTTACAAAAATACTTCACTACACAAAACTTCTTAACTACAAAGTGGAAAAAATAATTTACAGAGGAGAAGCCTGGTAGACATCATCTTGATCATAATGGACAATATCAGTGACAAGACAAAATGAAATTACGCACCATCTGATGAGATGCAGTAATACAAAATCACTTCTGCAATGTTCCTGCCAAAGACACATGACCTGAATCTAATTATGAAGAAACATCTGATTAGGCCAAATTGAGAAACATGCTACAGAATAACTTGCCTGAAATCTTCAAGTGTTAAGGTAATGAAATCAAGGAAATAAGAGCAGTGTCCAGATACAAGAGACATGACGACTAAATGCAAAATGTAATTCTGAACTGGGTGCTGTAGGTCATTATTAGTAAACAGCTGGTGAAACTTGAATGTGTGAGGTCTGAGGACTAGGTAACAGTACACATCAACGTTAAATTCCTGATTCTGATGGCTGTATTGTGGCAATGTAAGAACATGTCCTTGCTTGTAGGAAATATGCACTAAAGCATTCAAAGGCATCAGTTTCACAACTTGCTCTTAAATGGTTGAGGGGGAAAATGTTCTTTGTAAGGGACTTCCAACTTTTCTGTAAATTTGTAATTATTTTTCATAATAAAAATTATTAAAATTAAACAATGATCTACACAAACTCCAAAATACGTAAATTTTCAGATCTGAGTTAAAAACAAAGTTTTAAACACACATTTTTATTTATAATGAGACACCACCATATATACTACCGATGAGGTCACTCTAATTCAACAATGTTTTATTGAGGAGCTACTAGATAGGCCAAGTTCTGAGCTACACAGAGCAGGTAGGGCCTGAGACTACCAAAATATTAATGCACTGGCCCTGTCCTCTAAAATCTTACTACCTAGCAAAACTTCCTCAAGTCATACAGAAACAGGCTGTTTCACAACCACATGCATGCAGAAAATACTAGGAATGCTCAAAGAAGGGAAGGAATTAGTCCTGACCAAGGGCATCAGGAAAGCCTTCCTAAGGGGCTAACACCATGCTAAGCTAACAAGGTAGAGGGCCAGGGAAGCAACATGCAATAGTCTCTAAACTATGCAGTAGACCTCTCCTTTCAAGTAATGTTTACTTAGAACCCTGATTGATAAAAGAGATTAAAAGCAACAGCCCTAGGTGAAGTAGAGGTGTAACCTGCTCCCATGGCTTCCCTATACTGTTCTCCGTAGTAGCTCCTAAAACACTTCTGAGGAACCCTGTAGTTTTCTTGAATACAGTTTAAAAATTATGATAAAGTAGAAAAAGCAATGACTTTGGAGTCAGCCAGGGAGGTGTAGGTTTGTATCTTTCCTCTGACCCTTACTATGCATTTACCTGTTTTGGAAAATGAAGACAATACTATCTATCCCTCAAAACTGTTTTGAGGATTACATAGAAAACATAACAGACAGTGGCCAGTATTTAACAGGTAGGCAACATATGGTAGCTACTGTTGTGATTAACAGTGACACTACTAAGAACAACAACAATCATGGAGTTCTAAACAAATAAACAAGCAAACTCATATAAAAAAAAAACCTCAAAATGGATCATTGACCTAAATGTAAAGTGCAAAACTATAAAAATTCTAGAAGATAACTGGGTGACCTTCTGTTTTACCATGAGTTTTTACATACAACATCAAAAGCCCAATCCATGAAAGAAAAAATGGGTAAGTTGAACTACATTAAAATTTGAAAGTTCTGCTCTGAGAAAGATACTGTTAAGAAAATGAAAAGACAAGCCACAAACTGGAAGAAAATATTTGTAAAATATCTCTCCGATAAAAAACATCTATCTTAAATATAGAGAACTCTTAAGACTTCACAATAAAAAAAACACACAAATAACCCAGTTAGGAATATGGCAAAAGATCTGAATAGACACCCCAACAAGGAAGACATTGAGATAGAAAGTAAGTATATGAAAAGATATTTAATATCACATGGCATTCAGAAATTGCAAATTAGAAAACAATGAGACACCACTACACACATCTATTAGAATGCCCAAAATCCAGAACACTAACACCACCAAATGCTGGCAGGCATGTGGATCAATAGAAGTCTCATTCACTGTTGATAAGAATGTAAATACAGCCACTTTGGAAGAGAGTTTGACAGTTTCTTACAAGGCTAAACACAGTCTTACCATATGATCCAGCAATCCTAGGTATTTACCCAAATGAAATAAAAACTTATGAATACACAAAAACCTTCACACAGATGTTTACACCAGTTTTGTTCACAACTGCCAAAAATTGGAAGCAACCAAGATGCCCTTCAATAGGTGAACAGATAAAGTAGAAAACTATCAAGCCACTAAAAAGACATAAACTGCCTTGGCCAGTTTGGCTCAGCAGGTAGAGCATCAGCCTGCAGACTGAACGGTTGTGGTGGGTTTGATTCCTGGTCAAGGGCAGGTATGAACCCTGGCCCTGGTCAGGGTTGTGCAGGAGGCAACCAATTGATGTATTTTCTCCCCCTCCCCACCGCCCCCATCGGAAAATAAATGAAAAAATATCCTTGGGTGAGAATTAAAAAAAAAATCCTTGAAAACTATCCTGGGGTGAGGATTAACAACAACAACAACAACAACAACAAAGACGTAACCTTACATCATTTGCTAAATGAAAGAAGCCGATCTGAAAAGGCTACATACTGATTCCAACTACATGACATTCTGAAAAAGACAGTAACTAGATCAGTGGTTGCCAGAGGATTGGAGCAGAGAAAAGGGTGAACAGGGGAGTTTTAAGGCAGTGAAACTATTCCATATGATACTGTTAATGGTGGATGCATGACATCATGCACTTGGTAAAATCCAGGGAATGTACAACACTATGAGTGACTCTAATGTAAAAACTGTAAGTTTCAGTTAATAATAATATAGCAATACTGGTTCATCAATTATTACAAATGTACCTAACCAACGCAAGGTATTAATAATAGGGCAATCTGGGGAGAAGAAAAAGGAAGTATATAAAAACTCTGTGTACTTCCTGCTCAATTTTTCTATAAAGCAAAGACTGCGCTGTAAGAACAAATAAAAACAAAGCACCACCAGAATAACAGCAGGAATAAAAGCATGGAGGTTAAGAGCAGATAGAGGACAATCAGCTGTGTACTTCTGCTATTTTTGATAAAGCACTCTGGTGACACTGCAGAAGATAGATGTGGTGCAGGCAAGACAAAGTAGATGGGTTAAGAAATGACTGAAATACTCTAAACAAGAAATAATAAAGGCCAAAACATTCCAGGGGTGGTAGGAATGGACGATGCATTTCACATCTTTTGGAAACTGAGTGAATGGAGCCCTGGGAACTAAGGTGGGCAAGAAAGATGGATGAGCAGCACGTCTGAGGTTAGTTTGGGTTATATTACACTTGAGGATCTACATGCAGTCAAAGGAGAGGTCTAACAGGCGATTTGACATGAGCCTGAAGCTTGGGGAATGGTCGGAGCTGAGAGTCAGCATATGGCAATACTAAAAATGTCAGTGAATGAGATCACCAAACATGTACAGTACTAAACACAGTGAGCCCAGGACCAAAGAAAACATCAATTTTTAGATGCAAGGAGATTGAGTAGCCCTCAAAGAAAGAAATGATCAGAGGGAGGACGAGGAGCAGAAAGAATGGTATCATAAAAGCCAAGTATATCAGGCTGAAAGATTGCTCGATCTCTTGTCTTCCATAGTGGCAAGCTCATACATAATGCCCAAAACCAAAAATTTGAGACTTATCTATAAAGCATATTATATAGGAATAATGAACTAAATGCCAAGAAATCAGTTAAGAGCTAAAAGTGGTTGTCCTTGGGGGGAAAGGGGAGAGGTGAGAGGTTTGGAAATATTGTTTTTTTCCTTAAAGAATCTTTATACTAGGTCCAAACAAACAAAACAAAAACATTGAAGTACAAAGGAGAAGAGACCAGGATTGGTGGTACCTTGTATGTAAACGTTTTGGGGTTTAATTAGCCACAAATGTAATATAATCCAGGAGATACAGTCACCAAACAAGTCAACACAAGATGCAATTACTAGAAATATAATATCTTCATTCAAATAACAGACTGAACTTTTGAGACCACATCAGAAACAAAGAATTCAATTTTGGGTATCATATTTTAAGAGAGTCCAAATCCTATCTCTCACACCCATCCTTTTTATCCTAGAGCCCCTACCCTAATTCAGACTCTTAACACTTCACACCCAGGTTAAACCAAGAGTATCTTAACTAGTCTTTTTGTCTCCAAACTACTCTACATCTTATACCCAAAGTAATTTTCTGAAAATCTATTTTGTTCTTATCACTCCTTTTCTCAAAAATCTTCAGCAGTTTCCTATTGTCCAGTTTCTTTGTCGGACATTTAAGATCTTTATTTTATTTTTTTACTAATCCTCACCTGAGAATATTTTTTTCCGCTGATTTTTAGACAGTGGAAGGGAGGAAGGGAGGAGAGGGAAACATTGATGTGAGAGAGACATATTGATTGGCTGCCTCCTGCACATGCCCTGACAGACCAGGCCAGGGGTTGAGCCTGCAACCTAGGTACGTGCCTTTGACCCAAAACTGAACCTGCAACCCTTCGATGAGTAGGCTGATGCCCTAGCCACCGAGCATCTAGCCACTGAGCACCAGCCAGGGCAAAGATCTTTTACAAGCTGATTCCAAACTAACTTTTCAATTCAATGCCCTGAGGCTTTCCCGAATGAATGATCAATTCCAGGCAGTCTGGTGTACCCACTGTTCCCTGCACACACAGCACTTCTATCATCTCTATCTCTGCACCTCAGCTCCCTGTGCCCTTGCTCCCATCACTGTTCCAGCCTGCTCTTTTCTGCTTACACGAGCATCATTTATGTCCAGCAAGCTCCACACTTTCTATTGGGCTCTCCCTAGTCCCTTTTACTACAAGGATGTCTGTCCTCTGGACTCCCACCGCACTCCCGACTGTGTCAGTTGTTCCAGTTACCATATACAGAACGACTCTGCACCATGAACTACCTTTTATAAATACCTTTCATAAATATCAATTATTTTGAAAGCCACAGGCTTAATATAGCCAACAATATCTAGCATACTGTGAAAATTCTCAATCTACACTTTTAAAAAAATTTATCTTTATCACTGAAAGTATTATAGACGTCCCTCTTTTTCCCCCCAATGACCCCCTCCTCCCCACTCCCACCCCGCCCCTGCCTTTAGTGCACTATTGTCTGTGTCCACTGGTTATGCATATAAGTTTTTTGGTTTATCTCAATCTACCCTTTTAAAGACACCTAAACATCATTTACTCTTTTAAGCACAAGGACTGTTTTCCCTCTCTGTGCCTCACTAGCATTCTGCACACATCTCCACTCCAGCATATATCACAATACACAGATTACATTAGTCTGAATCCCCCCACCTCTCCCTCACTACCTGGGTGTTACATGGAGGCAGAACAGATACATAACCAGAATTACACGAATTGAAGTACTCACCCCACTGGCAGTTCTGATGGGCTTTGCCTTTAACTTGGGGACCAAGACCTTTCGATACTGAGGTGGAACTGCGGCAATGATATCCACCAGGCGAGGCTGAGCTGAGAGACCATATTTGGCAGCCGTTTTGGTTTTCAGCCTGAAAGTAAAGCATCTCGCATTATCAAGATCACATTTCAAGGACAAGCTACCAAAAGATGACCTATAAATAATATTGACTCCTGTCACTCCCCTATCCATTCACCAGATGACAACAGTGGCTTTAACATCTGTGAATCTCAGGGGCCAGGACAGTGACACCATCCAAAGGGTGCTCCACCTTCAGAGGATTCTACCCTTTTCTCAGCCTTGGCACTACTGCATTTGGAGTCAGAGTAATTCTGTGGCAGGGGACGGTTCAGCACATGGTGGGGTTTCAGCAGCATCAGCCTCTATGCACTAGCACTCCTCTTCCTGCTGTGACAACCGCGAATGTCTCCAGACACTGACAAATGTCTTCGGGGATGGGGGTGGGGTCACACCTGGTTATAAACCACTGTCTTAGATCAAACAAACAAAAAACAAAGGAAAGCTACACAAAAGTATTTTAAAACTTTTTCTAATACAAAATATTGTATACATAAAAACATATAAATATACTTTCACAATGACAAAGCAACCACTTGTGTAACCACACTCCAAAAAATAGCATATGATCAGAACTTCGGAATACCTACTTGCCCCTCCTGATATAACCCTACCCTGACTGCCAGAAGTAACTTTATCCCAACTAATAATTCCTTACTTTTCACTATAATTTTTCAAACTTTTCTTTTCCTGGCTGTTAGCCAAACCTAACAGCCACCTTAACTTCTCATTTTTAACCCATCTAAACATATTGTGAGGTGTTTGCATCATTTTCTACAATTGTTAACTGAGTATTTGATATGTACAAAGACTACTTAAGTACTTGCTATGTCAGGAGGTATAAGCCATAGTCATTTCATGCTCTATGCTTACAGATAGGCACGAACAAAAATACATGTGTGATAAAACAAACACAACAATGAGTGCTACCAGTATGTAAGAGGGTAACTCAATGTGTGCTCCCCAGCCATGGAAAGTGGGCGCAGAAAAAAGAAGAGACATGCAGTGAAAACATGGAGACGACGCTGAAAGCAGGTAGGATGGCTTATGTGAAGATGCAAAAGTAAATATACACATATTTAAAGAAATATAGGTAGACCAACTTGACAGAAAGCAAAGACTGTCTATGTAAAAGTACAAACATTAAAAAAAGCTGGAAAAGTGAATGGAAGCCAGACCGAAAGGCCTTACATAATGCACTGAGGAATCTGCATATTCCATAAGCACTGGGGACATGCTGAAGTTCCTGCACAGGGAAATGGCATGATAAAAGATGAGACAAAGGAAAATTAACCCAGAAAGAGATGGAAAGGGACCAAAAGCATAAGCTATTGCTGTAGTCTAGACTTAAATTTAAGAAGAGGTGTAACAGGTAGCTGGTAGTGGAAGTGAAAATGAGAGCCGTAATGAAGACAAAGCAGGCTAAGACCCTCATGAGACCCAAAGAAGATTCAAAGATGACGCCAGTTTCAAGTTTGGGTACAGGTTAACACAGCTAATCAGAGAGAATATCTGGGTAGGGACTGATTTTAAGGAAGATGACAGCTATAGTTTTAGATATCTAAATTAAAGAAAACAACAAAAAATATAAAGTAAGTAAAAACGTTCACTAGAAATAAGAGTTATATAATTGGTAGTATATAGCCAACAAAAATAGGAAAAAAAACCTGCTAAAGACATGGTAGAAAAAAATATTAAAATGTAATGTCTTGGTCTGCCTGGTGTGGCTCAGCTGGCTGGAACTTCGTCCCCTACACAGAAAGGCTGCAGGTTCGATTCCCAACTGGGGCACATGTGAGAGACAACCAATCGATGTTTCTTTCACACATCGATGTCTGTCTCTCTTTTTTTCTCTCTTGCTCTCCTCCTTCCTCTAAAATCAATAAACATATCCTCAGGTGAGGATCATAAAAAAATAAAATAAAATAAAATAAAATATCTTCATAGTCAAAAAGGATACTTATTTATTCCTTAGAAAATATTTATTAAGTAAGCACAATGTTCCAAGGAAGGGGTAAAACATTACAGTATCTCAAACAACAGAAAATAAGGTCTAAAGAAAGGTCATGCATATGGTGATTAGATCACTGCCAACCCGGGGGTGGGGAGAGAGCCCTTTCCTGACAGCAGATCTATGTTATGAATATACAGTGAAAAATACAGATGCAGAGATAAAAGACCTCTCTTATTTGAGGGTGCAGCAAAGTCAAAGCTGAATATGACCTTGGGAAGGAAGCGGATGAACATGTCGAGGAGGTTCTAAAGCAGGGAAAGGCTGGATTAGATGGAGGGTCCGTAGGGGAGGTTTTCTTGGAAAAGAGCTACTGCTTCCTCTGAGACAACAGGGAAGAGGAGGAGGATATGAAGTTATGTAGCACAGATGATAAGAACAGGAGCTCTGCCCGGCTGGTGTAGCTCAGTGGTTGAGTGTCGACCCATGCACCAGGAGGTCACTGGTTCGATTCCCGGTCAGGGAACATGTCGCTTGTGGGCCGAGTTCCCAGCGGGGGGCATGCAGGAGGCAGCCAGTTGAGGTTCTCTCTCATTGATGTTTCTATCTCTCTCTCCCCCACCCTTCCTCTCTCTCTAAAATTCAGTAAAGAGGGGCAAAGAAAAAAAAGAATAGGAGCTCTCTGCCCTGGCCAGTTTGGCTCAGTGGTTACAGCATCTGCCTACACACTGAAGGGTCACAGGTTTGACTTCTGGTCAAGGGCGCATACCTAGATTGCAGGTTGGATCCCTGGCACTGTTGGGGTGCATGCAGGAGACAACCAATCAATATGCCTCTCCCACATCGATATTCCCCACCCTTCACCCCTCTTCCACTCTCTCTAAGAATCAATGGAAACAATATCCTCAGGTGAGGATTAAAAATAAAATAGAAGCTCTGGAGACAGACAATGTAGTTCCAAATCACAGCTCTGCCAATCACTAGTCATTTACTCTTGGACAAATTATTTAACCTTTCTGTCTCAAGTTACCCATTTGTCAAATGACAATGACATGAGTACCTATCTCATACTGTTTTTCAAAGGATCAGTTGAGTTAATATATATAAGCATTACTATCACTGACTGGGATATAGTAAGCACCCATTAGAGGTTATAAGCTATCGGTATTATTAGGCTATGAGACAATTTTGCCATAAATGAGTGGCAGGGCAGAAAGCTAAATTCTCAAGTCAAAAATAAAACACGAGATAGGAAACAAGTAGAATTTGATAACTTCATAAGAGATCTACTATCTAAAAATAAGAATGCTTTCTTTGTTATAGGTCCACTTACTTATTTAGATCAATGTTTTTCCCTTGCTCGTGGGCTTCAATTAGTTGTTTAATAACATCTCCTATGGTCAGCATCATTAGCTCAGCAGGGCTGAGATCTCCTGGAAAGATAATATTTAACAACATAAAAAATCATATTCTTTTTATTTATTAGCCGTTTTCCTTCCAAAATCATTCCAACCACGTCAATTAAATAGCTCAAGTTCACAAGACACTAAACCTCTACTGTTGACAATATGATCCTATCTCTTGTATCTTTAATTTAAAACAAACCTGGCTTCACTTATATATGGGAAGAGATCACTTCACAAAGCACATACACGAAGAGAATGACAGAGACAAACATGAGGAGAAATAACTAATCTTTTTCACAGGAAAAGACCAAAGTAATAAAAACAGCTTCCCTTTATCCCCAGATTTATAATTACATTTATATCTTTTATTTAATCTGATTCTCTGAATAGAATGAGATAGATAGAACAGGACTATTTGCCTGTCCCATGAAAATGTTATCAAGGAGTAAAGTTGAAACACATACCTAAGTATCTGCATTTACTGTGTAATAGAAAAGACATGGGTTTATACTTGTCTAAGGATCTTAATGCATCTCTAAGATATAGTCTGTCCACACTCTCACAGCAACTGAGCCCTGGCTGGTTGCTCAGTGGTTAGAGCATTGGCCCACAGACCAGAGAGTCCCGGGTTCAGTTCCTGCTAAGGGCACGTACCTTGGTTAGTTTGTCCCCGGCCCCAGGTGGGGTCATATGGGTAGCAACCAGTCGATGTGTCTCTCTCACATCAATGTTTCTCTCTCTCCCTCCCTTTCTATCTGAGGATAAATGCAAAAATGTCCTCAGGTGAGGATTAAAAAAAACAAAACTCCAGCAACTGAGGTTTCTCTTCTCATCTAAAAGGCAATAGCAGAAGCTGACACGTTCTGACATAACCCCATCCCTGCGATTAGAGTTGACTGGTTCAAGGACCCTATCCAAGTCAAGCCAATGTGAGCTCTTCTCCTCAAGGCAAAACACACCAGTCTCTCTTCAGTGATAAAAGCTGTGAGAGTTCAGCTCGGAAGCTGTCAGCAAGCAATCTTCCTGTCGGTAAAGAGAGCTGGTGTTCAATGATAATAAAGTCATCAGGAAGAAGCATAGATGAGAAAGCCTGGTGATCACGGACCACTTTCGTTTACTTTCTCACCTGAAACCTCACAGTACTGTAAGGTAAATACTGTTATCCCATTTTACAGATGTGAAAAACTAAGGCAAGTTAAGATGTCATTGCAAATGGCATAGTTAAAACTCAAATCCAGGCCTTTTCTTCACAACTTCCATGGTTTTTTCACTGTACCAAGATGCCTCTAATGAGGCAAGGCTAAATAGCACAAACAAAACAATCTGAGAGGGGAAAAATGTCCATCTAAAATCAAAAGCTAAATGCTTTCCAAACCATGTAACTTAGCACTTCAGAGTTCTACGAAGGCACCTCCTGGGCCATGTAACAGGTAGGGCTGATGGTGGAGATAGAGGAGGTAGAGGATGGAAAGGGAGGGTCTCTTTCTCCATTTCAACCGAAGCAGCTCAGCTTTCACCTGTTTAATATTGAGTTTCTGCATAAGAATTTATTTGGAGGGGATTCAGGTGATAAAAATAGATAAAGATTTGAAACCCACTTGTATAGCCTTTGAGTGTATCAAGCATAGCTGGAGACGTAAATTAGTAAGAAAGGGCTTCATGGAGGAAAAGGTACAGGGGTCTTTCATGAAAGGGTAGGATTTGGAAACACAAAACAGACAGCAATGCAGAAGGAACGATGTTAAGTAGAAGAATTACCTATCCTTGTACGAAGGAGCATTGTCTAACCAGAATACAGGCCTTCTGACAGAGTTCAGTAAAGAACAGATTACAGGGCACATTGGCTACTAGGCAAAGACATTTAAATGGAGTGCAATAGACAGTGGAGAATTAAATATTCTCAAGGTTTGGAGTAAAAATATGACAGTAGTGTTTAAAGAAAAGTATACAAAAGAAAATGAAGATAAAAATGATTCAGAAGGTGAAAATACATGAAATCTGGATACAAAGTAAAAGGCTCTTGAAAGGCAACATTGTAAAACAAAAAAAAGCCCCACAAGATTTATAGTAAGAAACTTGGATGACAGGCTCCCTCCTTAGCTCTCAACCCCTAGTGGCTGTGTGATAATGGGAAGATAAATGACTTCTAAGCTCCATTTCCTTATCTGCAAAATTGGGATAATACATACATCTCACAAGGCCACTGTAAGGATCAACTTAAATAATGTCTACAAAAGCCAAAGTAGTATTCAAATATTAGTTATTGATTAAGGTAGGTGAGGAGGACGGCGGCCAGAATGATGAAGAATAAACTATTTCAAGAGGCCATTTCTAAGACCAAACAGGGTTTGGTGACAGATGAAGTTAAAAGTGTACAGCTGTCTGGCCTGACAAACTGAGGAGGAGCAAGTCAGAGGAAGATGGCAAATTAATATTGGGCATGTGGAGTTGGATGCCATGGACAACTGAAGGTAAGTTGGACACTTGTTGCTGCAAAAAACTGCAGTTGATGTCAAGAGGCACAGTAATTAAAAAAAATTTTTTTTTAATGTTTTTGGGGTTTATTGAGACAGTAGGACCAACCAGTTCCACTTCCTAAGAATAATTTTGGGCTGAAAAAGTCATTTAACTCTTTGAACCTCAACTTCATCTGCAAAATGAAGAGGATATCAACTTCAAAATGATTAGCAAAGGCTCAGTAAAAAGTAGTGATTATCATAAAACCTGTGAGAAAATCCTTGAAATCTGATTTCATCCTATCGAGAAACTAAAGATGGAATTGCTCCATGCTAACGTAGGAGGTAATACAAATTGGCATAATTGTCCCACGGAATCCAAGAAAAATTCCGGAATGTTTTTAACTTACGGCTTGAAGAAAAAAAATCTTTGAAAAAAGAAAAGAAAAGCCCACGTGCAACGTGTCCTAAAAAAACCTCAACAAATGAAGAGTCCGAGAATGAGTTATATTGACCGACCACGTTAACTACTTGGAGAACACACCTTGGAATAAAGCTTTTCCTGCCATTTATGCAAAAGACACCGACTGATGGCCAAAGAGGAAACCAGTAAGGGTAGGTTGGTTTACAAAGCACAACAGGTAAAACGAAAAGGCAGAAGGCTGGAGCCGACAGAAAGACCGACCCCAGGTGGCGGGGCTTCGGGATTAGGCAGCGGATTCCCGCGGGAAAAACCGGCTTCAGCGCCTGCCCGCCCAGGTGCTCGCCCCTTCCCTCCTGTACCCTCTCCTCCTCTCCCTCCCTTCCCGCACCTTTCCGCTTCTGCCTCATCTCTCCGCCGTCGTAGCTGCCGCCGCCGCGACCACTGATAACGTGGCTACCCACTCGGACCTCGGGGAAAGTTGACAGCCACAAAGCAACCCCGCTTGTCGTAAAATGATAATCACTGCATCGTAAAGCTGTTCCCGACAGCGGTGCGCGCAGAGGCCCGCCCCGCCCCTCAGCGCGCCTGCGCCCCGCCCCTCAGCGCGCCTGGCGGAGCCGGAGGGGCGGGGAAAAGCTTCGGCCCGGTTGCTTAGATGCTGAAAGCTGGACTTGGGTGGTGCAGAGGCAGGACCAAGCTCAGGCCTAGAGGCTGCGCCGGGAAGCCTCAGCGGGAGTGTGCGTGGAGGTGGTCTTTAAAGAAGGGTAGGGAGGCTGGGCAGGAACAGGAGTGAAGAGCCTGCCAGTGGGATGGAAACTCAAGTCAGAGCCTACACCATGCAGGAGTCCAGTGACCATTTCAAGTGCTGGCTTTGACGCCCAGTGGTCACCTTGGTCTCACCGAAAGGCACATAGCATTGCTAACCATCATGAAAGCTATGGAGATCTCCAGAAAAACGTAGCCGCTCACTTTTTGTAGAGTTTGGAGGTAGGATTGAGACACTGTTTTCCTGAAATCCATCCATGATCTCCTTAATTCACCATGGACCAGAATTTAAGAAGCCCTCTCATTAACATACAGATAGGAAAATGTGCTGTTTCCAGTTCCTTCCCACAAGAGTTTAGGTCCAACTCGAAGTCTTGGACACACCACGACCCTGAAAATGCCTTGGTCAAGTTTTGTGACTCCCCATCAGGACAAATTCAGTAGTATTTATCTGTCCTTATTGTCATCCTAGTACCAATTGACTTAGGTTCCTTGAAAAGTCTTTCATGATAGGACCCTCCACACTCTGTTTTGCTTCTATTTTTTTTTTTCTCAGTCTCTTTGGTGGACTCCTCTACCTCACCTCAAAATATTGGAGTATAACAGGGGTCACTTCTCAGCCTTGTCTCTCCCAAAGCAATCCCCAGAGTACCATAGCTTTAAATACTATCTACTCCCAATTTATAGTCTAGTTTCAACTTCTTCCCTATTTTAACAGATTTTTTTTTTATCCTTACCTGAGGACATTCTTGCACCTACAGACAGAGCAGTAGGGAGAGAGGGGCAAAAAGAGAGAGAGAGAGATCGATGTAAGAGAGACACATTGAGTGGCTGCCACCCACACGATCCCAAGCAGGGCCGGGGACAAACTGCAACCGACATACGTGCCCTCAGCGGGAACCGAACTCGGGACTGTCTGGTCTGCGGGCCGATGCTCTAACTGCTGAGCCAAACTGGCCAGGGCAACTTCTTCCCTATTTTAGGTCTTGGGGTCTAAAATGCATCTCAAACTTAACATGTCAGAAACAGAACTTTATTTTTACTCAAAATCTGCTTTCTCTAAACTTCCTTATGAGGACTTGTGAGTGGGGAATGTCAGGCCCAAGAAATCAATACCAGTTAACATCACAGCCTCACCAAATAAGCCTGACCAAATATAGCAGGCTAACTTTTAAGTCGATAATTTTGCATGGCCCAAGAATGGTGTTCTAAATATCCAAATAGCTCTTGGCAGAAAAATGGTTCTCCACCCCTGAATGAACATTAATGTCATCATTTGTGGTCCAACATTTGTATCACTACAGTTTGCACTCTGAGACTGCTTACAGAGGGTGACTGCTTCTTGGACTTGGACACTGCCTGCAGGACAGTCTATACTGTTTGATTTCTATTGATGAGTAACCCAAAAACTTTCGTTCTATACACCTGAACAGGAACTCGGATGTTAATAAATGCCTAATCATGGGTTACCCACTGTTCTTGTAGCACAACCCCACTTGCTGACTACTGAGTCAGCCAACTGTTGAAAAGTCCAGTTGTCCCCACTAATCATAAAGTAAATAATGTAAGTTTGTTGCCTTGTTTTCCCTAGCACCCCAGCTCTTTGATCACTAACTCCTTTCAACTTTGCATTTAAAATCCTACACTTATCCCCTCAATTTTGAAACATTTCTTCTGTTCATACCAAGGGTTACATCCTTGATTTACCAATCATGTATGAATAAAACTCTCATTTAAATTTATTTTGGAATTATCTGAAGTGTCAAAGAGAAAAACACAGGCCTAATATGGCGTCACTTTTGCTAAAGCCCATGATACCAAACCCAGATTTAGTGCCTGACCTAATTGCTATTTAATTTTTTCCTATATATATAATCAACTAGTCTGGAATATTCTTGTCAAGCACTAAGGTAATCTATCACATGGGCCCTCTCCATTCCCAATAGAAAGAAGAGGTAATCTGCAAAATAAGAACCTTGCCAGCTTTACATTCTAGAATGAAAATTAATTGAAGATATCCCTGGCCCAATGGCTCAATTGGTTGGAGCATTGTCCTGATATGTCCAACCCCCGCCAGAGCATATAAAAAAGAATCAACCAGTGTGTGCATAAATGAGTGGAACAACAAATCAATGTTTCTCTCTCTCTTTCTCTCCCTTCCTCTCTCTCTCTCTCGCTTAAATCAATAAATAAAAATTAAAAAAACAAACTTGCCATCCCTTCCCCCAAAAGTAGAGGTCCTGGTCTAAAAATAATATTTTTTGCCCTGGCCGGTTTTACTCAGCAGTTAGAGTGTCGGCCTGTGGACCAGAGAGTCCCTCCCGGGTTTGGTTCCCACTAAGGGCACTTACCTCAGTTGCAGTTTGTTCCCCCACCCCGGTTGGGATTGTGTGGGTGGCAACCAGTCAACGTGTCTCTCTCACATCAATGTTTCTCTCTCTTCCCCCCTTTTTCCCTCTCGCTCTATCTGAAGATAAATGCAAAAAAAAAAAAAAAAAATCAGTAAATAATACTTTCTTTTCTTTTGTTAATAGCCCTCTTGCCCCACCCTTACAAAAACTTTCCATTTTGTACAACTCCTGAGAGAGCCCTTCTAATTGCTAGGTGGGAAGCTGCTTGATTCATCAGTCGCTTAATAAAGCCAATTAGATCAGATTTACTTGGTTGAATTTTGTTTTTAAGATCATCTACCTCACCACTCTTAATACCTCACACCAGAGAAAGAAGGAGGTGGATAGTATGGCTATAAATTTTAGATGGGGTGAGGGCAGGCCTTATTGAGAATGTGATATTTGAACTAATACTTCATACGCAGACGTCTGGGGGAAGGGTATTCCAGGTAGGAGAAACATTTAGCACGGAATCCTGCACTGAGAGGATTTCAGGCGTGTTCAGGTAAAGTGAGGAGGCCAGTGTCCATGGAGCAGTGAGTGAAGGAAAGGATAGTAGAGGTGAGGAAGGGTGCAGAGAGGGAATATATAAAATGGAATGAGTTTAAGCTGCTAAAATGGATAACTTGATGAAGGTTGAGGCATGAGGAAAGACTCCACTCTTGTTCTAACTAGCCTGGGAACTTAAACTTTTTTTGACTTTTTAGTCCTGCATCAATGCCTAGATATACATCTAGACCTCCAGGTAACCCTCTAATTACCCCCTGAAGGACTCATGTATCCAAGCCATCTGATTACTCCATTGAAGGGCTCGTGTATGTAGCCACCTGACACCCATTATCCAGACCACTGGATGAGACCAGACCTTCTGGCGCCCATCTTCCAGACCACCTGGCATCCATCCTCCTGACTCCCTGACGTCTGACTGATGACTGTCCTGGACCAATCCTGGGCTAAGATTACATTCTCAAGAATGCACTTTTTGCTATAAGAACTTTTAATTTTTCTTTTTCCTTTGGAACACCTCTGGGTTTTTTGCCTAGCTGTGTTTCTAGTTTGCAAACTCTAAGACTCTTGAATAAATCTTTATTATTTATTTCTCACAAAGCCTCCAGACTTTCTGAATTAATTCAACAGAAGTCAGAGAAGAGATGGAGCAAAGTGCAGCTTATATAAGACCTCGTAGGCCATTGTAAAGCCTTTGGTTTTTACTCAAGTAATATGGGAACCAATGGGAGAGTTTTTAGTAGAGATAAGATATGATTTATAATTTAAAGTATCTATTTCTTGTGTTGAGAATAGACTGTGGGGGGCAGGGAAGGGTAGAGCCTGGGAGATCAGTTAGATGGCAATTATCGTGTCAATGCAGGTGGTGCCCACCTTGATGCACAATAGAATCACCTGGAGAGTAGTGACAAATCCCAATGCTCAGGTCACAGTCCATATCAATTAAATCAAGATATCAAGGGTGGGAGCCAGCCATTATTGTTTTGTAAAGATCCTTGGGTGATTCCAATGTGCAGCGAAGTTTGGGAACCCCCAAACCAGGCCAGAGATGAATATGATTTGAATCAGCATAGTAAGCAGTGAAGGTGGTGAGAAGTATTCAGATTCTGAATATGTTTTGAAGATTTCAACAAGACTTCCTGACAGATTAGATGTGGCATATAGAAGAAATACACACATGAACATCAAGGACGCCACCGAAGCTCTTGGACCAAGGGACTGGAACCATGTCGTCGCTGTCAGCTGAAATGAAGAGGACTGTGGGCGGGGTGGGATTTTAAAGGGGTGATGTGGGGCCAGTGTGTTTGGACATGTGTTTGGGGTGCCAATGAGCAGTAAGTCATGAAAAAGGTTAAGGCTGGAGATACCAGTTGAGAGTCAGAGGCATAGAGGTGAAATTTAACCCTACAAAACTGGATGAATGTGGAAAAGAGAAAAGAGACCACAGACTAAGTTTTAGGGCTTATTACTAGATTGTTCTTACTAGATTGAGGAGAAGAGGAGTAACCAGCAGAAAAAGCGGAGGAGGCGCCTCCAAGGAGGTGGGAAGAAAACTGGAAGTGTGGCAGCCTGGAAGCCGAGTGAAGAAACTGTCTTAAGGAAGAGGGAGGGATCCACTGGGTCAAATGTAATTGATGGGTCCAGTAAGATGAAGGCTGAAAATTGACGAGGATCGTGAGGACTTAAAAGAGGAACAGTTTCATGGAAAAGTAAAAGTGAAGGCTTGACTGGAGTGAGTTTTGATAGACCGAGAGGAGAGGAATTTGAGACAGTGAGTTTAGACAACTCTTTGGAGGGATTTTGCTGTAAAGAACTAGAGAAATGGCCCTGGCCGATTTGGCTCA